AGAAGAACACGTGTAAGTTTTCCCTTTCTGTGCTATTATTTAACTGGTTTCTTATTCTTTTCTTATGCTCTTAAGGAGCCAAAAATTGCTGGCCGTTGAAGATTTTTTGTTTGTTATGGTGCAGTATATATCTTTAAAAAAAAATATGGTACAATATTTTGATTTCCCGTTTTTTTTTTCTCTCTACATTTTTCATTTTAAACCTGAGAACAATATTATAATAAAAAACTCTTATTAAAGATGTGGTTTGCAAAGGGGCATCTTGATTCTGCCTAGATGAACAGAGAATTCCTTCCAAATTGATTTATTATTGTAGAGAAAGATCAGATTAAAAAGTGAGGACTCAAGTTTATAACAAGATTTCAATTATAATATAAATTAGCATAGAGTTGCTATGGTATCCTTATGGTTATGGTACGTAAGACCAAGTGTCAAGCATTTATTATTAACTCAGTTTCATAATAAATGTTTGGATTGCCATTAAGTATAACCTGTGGCATATCAACTACAGACATTGACGTGAGGTAAAACATGTTAGTATAGGTGTCCTAGAGACAATTTGAGTATAAATGTTTGGATTGCCATGTTAATGTTAGCCGGTCAAATCAGCTGGTGAGAAGAACACGTGTAAGTTTTCCCTTTCTGTGCTATTATTTAACTGGTTTCTTATTCTTTTCTTATGCTCTTAAGGAGCCAAAAATTGCTGGCCGTTGAAGATTTTTTGTTTGTTATGGTGCAGTATATATCTTTAAAAAAAAATATGGTACAATATTTTGATTTCCCATTTTTTTTTCTCTCTACATTTTTCATTTTAAACCTGAGAACAATATTATAATAAAAAACTCTTATTAAAGATGTGGTTTGCAAAGGGGCATCTTGATTCTGCCTAGATGAACAGAGAATTCCTTCCAAATTGATTTATTATTGTAGAGAAAGATCAGATTAAAAAGTGAGGACTCAAGTTTATAACAAGATTTCAATTATAATATAAATTAGCATAGAGTTGCTATGGTATCCTTATGGTTATGGTACGTAAGACCAAGTGTCAAGCATTTATTATTAACTCAGTTTCATAATAAATGTTTGGATTGCCATTAAGTATAACCTGTGGCATATCAACTACAGACATTGACGTGAGGTAAAACATGTTAGTATAGGTGTCCTAGAGACAATTTGAGTATAAATGTTTGGATTGCCATGATGTTAGCCGGTCAAATCAGCTGGTGAGAAGAACACGTGTAAGTTTTCCCTTTCTGTGCTATTATTTAACTGGTTTCTTATTCTTTTCTTATGCTCTTAAGGAGCCAAAAATTGCTGGCCGTTGAAGATTTTTTGTTTGTTATGGTGCAGTATATATCTTTAAAAAAAAATATGGTACAATATTTTGATTTCCCGTTTTTTTTTTTCTCTCTACATTTTTCATTTTAAACCTGAGAACAATATTATGAGCCGCTCATTGTCCGTGTCCTTTCGCACCGGCGATCAGTCCCTACCCTTGCCAGCTCTTGGGATGTTACACACCATGTATTTTGAATTTTTTTCATGAATAATATTTTAGAGCATTTACTTTATTTGTTATTTATCTGTCTCTATTTACAGTTTATTATTATTGTTTTAAGGATAAAGACCCTTGGAATAATCAAAGTGTATTTTGAGGATCTAGGATGAGATTATGATCATGAGAACTTGAGTATTCTATTTGATTATTTGCTAAATATTGTTCCTAGTCGAGGGTCAATAAGAAAGGGCATTTGATATGAGTAAGGGGCAAGAAAGACAAATTATAGATAAGGGATAGGAAATAATCCAATGGTTGAGAATAAATCGGAATTTGTTGTAACAAAATTACTGTTAGTTGATGTATAGGGGGAAAGGGAATTGTGTAAAGGGTGTCTAATATTGTAATCCATTTCCTGTTTAGAATAAACTTCTCATTCTCATCTCTTTCTTCTCTTTCTTATCTCAATCTTGCTTTTCTCTCATCTTCAACCTCTGTTCTTTAAGATAGGGTCCAAATCCTATCAATTGGTGCTTTCATTCTTTAAATAATGGCACCTGAAACACATGTCCAATCTGCGAATGATCGAGTGGAGCAAATCTAATCTGAAGTGGAGGTTCTGAAGGAGCAAGTGTCCAACAAATTTTCGGAGATAACATGCAAGTTGGATGTAATCTTGGCCAACTATAGAGAACGCAATGGTTTTCCTCGTTCTCTGTCAACAGTGACGCTTCCAACAATAGGGACGTTGCACCCTCTTCCAATCATCGCATCAAGGTACCAAGGTTTGATAGGTCTCTTGATTCCCAAGGCTAAGTCAATCAATTATTTGATTCTTATGACACAGATGAAGTGCAAAGACTACGTATTGCTCCTTTTTATTTTGAGGGAGAAGCGCTAACATGGTATCATGAACTCCACAAAAATACCAAGATTACTTCTTGGTTGGGATTTCTACAAGTTCTCCAGAAGCATTTTGGACAAACAGAGCTCGAGGATTATTAATTAACCAAAATGCTGTAAAAGGGGTCTGTGGTGGAATATCAGGAAGAATTTGAAATTTTACCCAATGGGTTAGGTGAACTTTCTGATTCCTTCTTGCCACCTACGTTATCTACACACAGGAGATTCTGCAACTCACACTAAACCTATTATGGCTAGTGATGAGAGCGAAATTTGTGGCCAGAAAGAGACTCAACAAGTCAAAATCATGGTTGCAATAGAAGCTGTTCAAGGAGTTATATTTGGGGCATTCCCTCATCATAGAAGGAAAATAATTTCAGTGTTTGGGCAGGCACAAAATAGTTAAGATCAAGAGTATTCCAAGCTTCCAAGAGAATGCATGTGCTTCATATTACACAGAACATGATTGGAAAAGGTGGTCATGCTGAAGTCTAGAAAGGACGTTTACCTGATGATCAAGTTGTAGCAGTAAAAAGGCTAATGAAGAACGAAAAGGAAGTTGAGGACAGAGCTGGTGATTTCTTGACAGAACATAAGATTATTGCTCACATAAATCACACATATGCAACACGCCTTATTGGGTTTGGAATTGATCGTGACTTCTACTTTGTTCTACCATTAGCCCCATATGGAAGCCTTACCTCTTTGCTCTTCTGTTTTGAATGCTTGAATTGGTAGATAAGGTTCAAGGTAGCTATTGGGGTAGCAAAAGGATTGCAATATCTCCATCATGATTGTCCAAGAAAAATCATTCACAGAGACATCAAAGCCTCAAACATATTACTCAACAATAATAATGAAGCTGAGATTTCAGACTTCAGATTGGCAAAGTGGCTTCCAGATAAGTGGGCCCACCATGTCATCTTCCCAATAGAAGGAACATTAGGATATTTGGCACCAGAGTACTTTATGCATGGACTTGTGGATGAAAAGACTGATATTTTCGTATTTGGGGTTTTGTTATTAGAGCTCATAACAAGCTGTCATGCAATTGATTCAAATAGCAGGGAAAGTCTTGTTATCTGGAGCTGGGAGAAAACCATTGATTGTCATAGCCGTGGACAAGGATTGATGCCCTCAAATTTTAAGGTACGAGCAATTTCCCATAATTCTACAGCTGAAGATGTCTTGGATCTTGATTTTGGTGAAACTACAATTGGTCATGTTCCATCGGTTGATTTTGAACATTGGTGGATTATATTGTTGCAAGCATATAGGAAATGCACTAGAAATTTATATGTGCAAGAGAAAGTTGATCTGCAAAATCGAATCAATGAAATGTACAGAGACAACATGGAGGAATATTTGTTTGATGCTATTAACAAATTCAATATATGTTTAGATCAAATTCCTTTATGGTTGCTGGAATTTATAAATAAAAGAGCCTATTTTCCTACCTTAAAAAAAGGAGGCTATTTGATTGGAAACCTGCAACCAACTTATGTGGACTTCCATTTCTTCGCTCTTGGAAAATTATGGTTCATTGTAATTAGGATGACTACTTCAGATCAATCACATGCAATTTTAGGCTTTATTGAAGGGAAATGGGCAGATTTAGTAGCCAACATGTCGTTCAAAATATGTTATCCTGCTCTTAAAGGCCAGCAGTGGTAGATTATAACAAGAAGTGAACCCAAAAACACTCCATGGTCCTACCACAATGCAGACTTGTGGCCAACTTTAATCTGGCAGCTTAGTGTCGCATGCATTAAGATGAATAGACCAAATATTGCTTCAAAGGTTGTTGTTGAGATGGAATATGTGCAGTATTGTTTGGTGATAGATCCACATGCTGCAACTACATCACAAATGAGTTTACATTCTTTCTTTGGGTTTTTAGTGGCTCCATGTTATACTGATTGTATGGGTAAATTTTAGCTAGTACTCATGTTATGTGGGCCTTGTTGAATGAATTTCATCACCTGTATCAATTCTCCAACCTTGAGGACAAGGTTGTATTTAATGGGGAGGGTATTGATATGAGCAAGGGGCAAGAAAGACAAATTATAGATAAGGGGTAGTAAATAATCCAATGGTTGAGAATAAATCTGAATTTGTCGTAACAAAATTACTGTTAGTTGATGTATAAAAGGGGGAAAAGGGAATTGTGTAAAGGGTGTCTAATAATGTAACTCATTTTTTGTTTAGAATAAACGTTTCATTCGCTTCTCTTTCTTCTCTTTCTCTCAATCTTGCTTTTATCTCATCTTCAACCTCTGTTCTTTAAGATAGGGTCCAAATCCTATCAGCATTGGTCTTTCCGATTAGATTAGTACGACATTAAGCTACTTACATGTGATGTAAGTTATAGACCTCATGGATGCAGATATGGAGATGCCTTAGCTAGGCGGATTTGTTAGTGGAACAAATCGCACTGAACTGACCCGTCGAGAGACTCCACAAGGAATCATTACGACATGTATCATTGGATACAATTTCTCATCGTTTGGTAGTCCGCATCGTCCTTGGACTTGAATTTGTCATCGATTACTGTGTGTGAGGGTCATATTTTGATTGCATAACTCTATCCGCCTGAAACATGGGGAGCATTGTGTACTCTTGGGTATGACCTAAGGCCACGAGTATAGATGAACAAGCTAATAAGATTCATCATCTAGGTAAGTTATCTTAAAGAGACCGGTCGGACTCAGATGACTTCCATATGACCTAAGGCCATGAGAATCAATGTATATTTTGTTATTGTACCTCCTTATTTCCCTGATTATATTAACTTTTATCCGTGTTGTAGCTAAGACACATGGAAATCATCTCATCTCCTCTCATTTGCACCTCCTTCAACATGGTATGTAGAGCTTGACAAGAGGCAATCCAATTTCATATTCTGAAAAGTCTAGGAATCCATGCATAATATCTTGCTAGAATGGTTTGGATGTAGCTCCAAACTCCTTGGACAGCATTGGATCCTCTTTCAAGTCATTAATAATTTTGGACAGCATTGGATCCCTTCAAACTTCTTCATCCACACTGCGATATCTTGCTAGAATGGTTTGGATATAGCTCCAAACTCCTTATTAACTTCCCTAAAAGTTCAAAATGACTGAAATTGTTTTTTTTTTTCTTTCTTTTTTATAAAAAAGTTAAATGAGCTGTGTCCGTAGCGTGTTGTAGAATTTTTTTTTTAAATGGACATGTAATGCCTGTGGTCTGTGTGTCATGTTTGACACATTCCGACATGCATATATGATACAGAATGGTCACAGCCAATAAAGACTTTACAACTCATCTTGGATACTCATAAATAGGAAAAAGATATGGTTATCTTGAGTAATGCTCATAATGGTCCCAAAAATTTCTTAGTTTACATCTTTATTACAAATTATTGCTGTAAATGGCCTATACATAGTCTGAGTGTATATTTGTTTGCCATTGAATGGCTAATTTATCGTATCAATCTTCCTCTCTATCTTTTGTCTGTGGAATCTGAGAGTTATCATAAAACATTCATTAGTTTTTGAATTATTTGTATACGAAAGTCATCAAATACAACCCTAAAATATAAATTGTTATCATATTTCAAAGGATGTGGGAGATTATGTGAAAATTTTATACCTTGCTACAAGGTTTGTGACAAGTTTATATACAGATCCCTATTGATATGTTATGTCATGTAACAGAGAGTTGGTAGACTCGGTTCAGAATATGATCCTTGCACTGAGGGTCACTCCACTGTATTTTTTAATCTACCTGAGGTCCAAAAGAAACTTCATGTTGATCCAAATCACAAGCCTGCTAAATGGGAGACCTGCAGGTGATGATCATTTGAGAAACACTTGTAAAGTTTAGATTTATGTTCAAAGTATGTATTGTAGATTAAACAAGAGCAACTTTGCTTAGGAATTCAATGTGGTTATTGGGAATACATCCTCATTCATTGCTAGACAAGGTCAAATACCATATTAAATGAGGTTTATCATTAAAATCTGTTTGATTAGTAAATAAAATGCTTTTAACACTCAACTGTTGTGCTTTCCTTTATAATACTCCTTAACAATTTTAGATCCCCTGCAACTAAATCATTTAGTAATTTTTTTACTAATAGCGACTTTAGGGATTGTAGGCTCAGCATAAAATGCATTATTGCACTTCTTTCTATTTCCCTCCATGTTTGTGTGTGCTGCCATTTCTTTTACCAAATGTACAGAGATCAGAACCATCTTATTCTCATTCTTTGCAGTGAACTCGTAAATAACAACTGGAAGGATTCTCCAAGAATAATGCTCAATATTTATCATGAACTTATTCATTTCAAATTGAGGATATGGATGTTTAGGTTACTCTCATCGCCTAACATCACACATGATTACATATGTGTTTACTCATTCATATGCTTTTATACTTGCATACAAGTAAATATTAGCTAGAAAGGACTTCAATGTAATCTGCAGCAATTGTCTGTGTTATGTTGACTAAGACAGTTTGCTAATTACTTAGGATCTGAAAAGACTGCAATTAAGATTTATCCTTCATATCAAATTCTTGATGTTAGCTTCTTATTTTTAGTATTTGATTGAGGTCCCTTAGTTGATTAGAGTAACAGACACTTGAGCATAACAAAGTACTTACATGACATCTGATCAGTTGATCTCCTTAATGTTATATAATCACCTCACGTGTTGGTATGTCCATTATTTTTTTTCTTGTATGGTATTAGCTACTTTAGCTGGTGTTGTAATTAATGTGATAGCTCAAAGCTGTCTTGTTTCTTGTTAGTTTGCTAATATAGGAAGTAGTGTGGGAAATTTTGTGAACACTTGAGTTATAGTAAACATTTTAACCACTATAATTTTAGTTACTTCATAGCATAAGATTTTCTAACTTTTTTCTCCATTTCCATTTCAAAATTCATTTCCTGCATGATGGTTTTTAGTTTTGACACTTACGGGACAGATTTGGTTTGATCTTAAGTAAACATGTTTTAGTTTAAAAGCAAAAAGGTTATAATGAAAAGACTGTCAATGTCCCATTAAGTCCTTTTGGAACCCAATCTGCTTGAAGTAAAGTATCCTTTCATTCCCTCCTCAAACAATCTTTGCCACCAAACTTATATATTTTGTTCCCTTATGTCAGTGGTAATACAGATACCGTAATCCCTGTGACATCTACTCGCTATAGCATAGATGCTCTCAAGCTTTCACCTTTGAGCCCTTGGCATGCATGGTATGATGATACGGAAGTAAGTGATTTCTACAATAAGTTTTGTTTTGTCTTCTATTTCATATGACTTGGTTTCTCTTCGTTAATTTTCTATTTTCTCCCCTTTTTATTGTTTACTTCAGTTTAGTGCATTGATATATAAGTGAAACATGTTGGAGGATGGATCCAAGAATATGATGGACTCACGTTTGTGGTTATAAGGGGTGCAGGGCATGAAGTTCCTTTGCATAAACCAAAACTTGCTCTTGCACTTTTCAAAGCCTTCTTAGCAGGAACCTCTATGCCTACCCTTGAGCTAGTCAGTGCCTCATGAAATTTACATTCTTTTACATTTGTTTTTTTCCAAGGAATCTTCCTCAATAATGTTGTCCCTTATTCCTCAAATTGTACACATCACAGTATATGATCTTTCCAAAGTGCATCTAATTTGAGCTTTTGTACCCTCTTAATATGAAATATTCTTAGTTATGGATAGTGTTACATTTAGTAGTTGAGATTTGATATTAGTTTTATTAATATTTTAATTTAATCATACTGCCCATATTGTTATGTTGTCCATTAATTATGTATTTAGTTAAGTGAAATTATTTGCCAATTATGATGCAGCTTTCAAACAAATTTTCTATCTATGGTATGAGAATCTTTTTTGATTGTTTTATTTTTTTCCCTCATGCCATGTATTTACGCCTAACTGCTTTTTTTTTAATTTTTTTTAATCGCGTAAGTCAAACTTGTGCTATTCATTTGTTTATATTCTTTTAATTTTTTTTAATAGAGCATCAAATGTTGGCATCATATGGGTTTTTTATGAAATTGTGAGATGATAGCTGTTGTAATGATCAAAAAAATTCAAAATAAAAATATAAGAGTTTCCATCAATTTTATTTAACAAATTGGTCTTTCAAAAATGTAAATCAAGGTTGAAAAGTCTAATTATGTATATGGAATGGTGAAAATTTGAACCCTTAATATGTTCCTTTAAAAAATAGTTACCTAAATTTATGAGTATTTGCTTTTCTTCTGAAATAAGTGGGAGATATAGAAAGAAGTGGAATTTATAAAATTTAAAATTAATTGCTATTTTTTTTTAAAGAAATGAATAGTAAATAAATTTTAGAAAAAAAAAAATGCAATGATTGAATCTTGAATTTTTTTTATGTTTTTTTTTTTTTCAAAAATTGAATGGAAGAATAAGTAAGACAAAACTAATTGAGAAAATTGAATTTTTATTATTGTTTCAAAATAAGACAAAAATTATTAAAACTTTTGACTAATTAAAAAAGATGAATTGTAAGAAAAAAAATAATCACATGGAGTTTAAGGTAGCATTGCAATATGACAAGCATTAATTGCCTTTAATTAAGACCACTTTATATCTAAAGGTAAATTCAATTTTGGAATCGTAAATCATTGAAGTTTTGGTTTAAATAAAACATAATTTGTATTAAAAAAACAAGGATCTTTGAAGAATGATAAGGTAGGCGAAAAATCCTTAGAAAATACTTCTACAAGATGTTCCATTTTTGCATAGAAATAGGTTCGCTCAAAAAGAACGCTAAAAGATTTTAATCGTAAATGAGATGATTTATTACGTAGAAAAAGGAAGATAGATTCGTATTCCCATACATAAAAATTATACAGAAACAATAAAAATCTTGGATTACTTTTTGAAAAAGTAAAAATCAATTTTTCTGGAGTAATAAGACTACTATTCCAATTACAATACTCATAAAGAAACAACCTTAATAAATGAAAGAAAGGGGTATCTTTCAACCAGTATCGAAGAGTTTGAACCAATATTTCCAGATGGATAGGATAGGGTATTCGTATATCTGACACATAGTTTAAATATGTAAATTTATCCTCGAAAAGGGGAAAAATTGAATGAATTGATCGCAAATTATTATACGATTTTACTATTTGTGTTTCCTCTAAAAAAGAACTTCAAAATAAGACAAAAATTATTAAAACTTTTGACTAATTAAAAAAGATGAATTGTAAGAAAAAAAATAATCACATGGAGTTTAAGGTAGCATTGCAATATGACAAGCATTAATTGCCTTTAATTAAGACCACTTTATATCTAAAGGTAAATTCAATTTTGGAATCGTAAATCATTGAAGTTTTGGTTTAAATAAAACATAATTTGTATTAAAAAAACAAAAAGATATCCGTATGGTTCGGTTTATTTTCTCATCATGATTCTGTATAGTTTCACAAATCACTGAAACTTTTGTTTAAACCTAAAACATGCTTCCTTATAATCTTTTAAAAAAGGCTCAGCCTGCGGTCATATTCTAATTTTGGTGGACATTTCAGTGATAGAGACATAGAGTGGGAGTGGGAGCGTTTTGTTTTACAATACCGGTATTTTACAATTTTTTTCAATACAAAATGTATACTTTTTAAATTCAATTCCCACATCTACTAAAAAAATAAATAATAATAAAGAACTCTTAAAAGATTTTGAATAAAACATAAACTCAATTATAAATAGAAAGAAAAAGTAAACATAACATATTAAAAAAAAATTATTATTTGCGTAAGTCAAACTTGTGCTATTCATTTGTTTATATTCTTTTAATTTTTTTAATAGAGCGTCAAATGTTGGCATCATACGGGTTCGTATTGATAAAAAAAATTCAAAAAAAAAATGTAAGAGTTGCCATCAATTTTATTTGATTTGATAAAATTAGAAAAAATTTATTTGACAAATTGGTCTTTTAAAAATGTAAATCAAGGTTCAAAAGTCTAATTATGTATATGGAATGGTGAAAATTTGAACCCTTAATATATTCTTTTAAAAAATAGTTACCTATATTTATGAGTATTTGCTTTTCTTCTAAAATAATTGGGAGATATAGAAAGAAGCGGAATTTATAAAAATAAAAATTAATTGCTAGTTTTTTTTTGTTTTTTTAAGGAAATGAATAGTAATAAATTTTAGAAAAAAAAAATGCAATGATTGAATCTTGAATTTTTTTTATTTTATTTTTTCAAAAATTAAATGATAGAATGAGTAAGACAAAACTAATTGAGAAAATTGAATTTTTATTATTGTTTCAAAATAAAACAAAAAATTATTAAACTTTTGACTAATTATTTAAAAAAAGATGAATTGTAAGAAAAAAATTATGACATGGAGTTTAAGGTGTAACAGGTCGTTGTACACCGGTATTGTTAACATTAATTATGATATTAAGCGCAGTTACAATCACAACAATTCATTTACAAAAATGCGAATAAACTTTTTCCGATTATTACGCGAGCATTTAAAACATAAAAAAAAGCGTAATAATTAAAAGCTGTGACTGTAACCGTAAACTCTTGCGGAAGACTTATTTAAAACTATTTTTATAAGTTACTTTACTTATTATAAGTTACTAAGGGGTTCCCATAAACCCACTTAGCCAATTTCCAAACTTTACGTTTTTACCAATTCGGACATGTTTCACTCTTAATTTTTCTGCGACCACACCGTTCGCAACCAAACCTTCTTCTCTGATTATATCTTTGTCTTACTTAATTCCCTTTTTTAACAAGCTATCATACGCTCAATTCGGAGCTCATTTGCTTCGGTTATCGCCGTTTGAAGTTGGATAAGCAAATAGCCAAACAACCCCAAACACAGCTCCAAACCACTCACATTACTCGAATTACTTCACTCAATCCACTCATCCATATGCTCTCAAATTTTTATCCTACAAACTAGACATCTCAAACTTCATTTTGATATATCACACGCTTAATTTGACTTAGAAACGAAGCGGGAATTAATTTCCCAAATCCGGTCCAGAACTGCCCCAGATGCAGTGGCACATGAGCAGTCCGTGTTTCTCCATTTTTTTAAGGACGAAGATCAACCCAGATTTTTCCCAACTTTTTACACAACATAGAGGACATATCAACCTTCAAAATGGCGTATGGAACGTCCCTATTGGACCTCTATGGAGGGAGATATGCTCTTCCGAAGTTCGCCTAAAATCTGCCAATTCTACAGAAATTTCGCCAGAGTTTCCTTTGTTTTTCCAATAATCCCAAATTGGTAATAGATCATTTAAGCCTCAAATGTACCTAATAATCACATGATAATACAGTAATAATCAAATGGGTGGCACACACAAGGACCAACAACGTCTTGGGGCACTTACAACCCAATCCAGTTTATAGTTATTAGGCATATAATTTATATTAATCATCCTTAAGTAGTTGCAATCACTAACACCTTTTTCATGCATATTTTCATCATACATGTAATCATACCCTAAAATAGGCCTAAGGCCCTTCCATCATAAATAGTCATGCCTCAATACAATTACAATATTGCTTTACAACTTACAACTTGAAACTTAAACTTTAACTTACATTCTTCCAATATTACAACTTAAATTCAAATGACAACATAACCAAATACATAACTACTAGACTTAGGCAAAATGGCATGAACAAATATGCTAATGAAGCTCATACCACATACATATGAGATGTTCATGCCCTAAGTCTAGCCTAGGCCACACGGCCAACAAAATGCAAAATGTGAAGCACTCCACAGCTCACTCTGCGGGCCTCTTGCCCGCTGCTCCGGCTCCACTGCTACCTCCTGAAATAAATGCCCCGAGACGGGGTGAGATATACGAATATATCTCAGTAACCAAGAGGTTCTGGAGAAAACTCCACCCAATGGTTCACTTCGATGCATATCAATAGAATAAAACAACCACTTTGAAAACGGGATATAGCAAGGGATTTAGAGAAATGAGGAATATAAATATATAAACTACGACGATACGGGATGGTAACCCCAATTCCACGTACGCCCTGGGCATATATAAGCCTATGGGTATCATACAAGGTGCGTTCAAAGAAACTACAACCATGATGCCTCAACCATCCAAACACCAAAGACATTCCTAGTGTGCTCCTACCCGGATCACACACCATGACTCACGGTCAACTGGAACTCCCTCCTGGAGACCTATCCAGCGGAAGTCCGAAACTGCCCGAAGGCTAATAAAACTGTCTACTGGCCAGAGACTCGGTACATAAGTACCCACTGTAATAATGCATGCTTGCTCATGTGTTCTACACTACTCATATACACTTTCTACCGTTGCCATCAACTGGCAAGGTGGAACAGAAAAGGGGAACAAGCCCCAGTACCAAGAGGTTACCTTAAATATTGTTTTCACAAGCTCCGCAGCAGCTTATCCCTCAACTTGGTACACAGCAGAATGCCTACACATAGGACATTCCCAATCTCTTATAATTCAAACAATACATGCTAATTTACAATTATACATGCATTGAACCAAT